CGTTCGGCGTAGCATTATATCTGCTTCGCTTTCTACGTCCACCATACATTTTTAATACGACGAATTTCGCGAAACAGTCGCCGTCGATTTCTGCGAAACTGACTCCACTTTCCCAAATCACTGGGGTCTGCCACATGTGCAGCAAATGCTGCACTCTTCTCACACACCAATGCGCCAATCGTCACATTGTTGTCATCAAACCAATCAGGCCGCTTACAGTTTGCGCGCCCGATGGTCGCCTCGGTAGCAGCTGTCACCTACTCGTGAATGTGGTGCCACAGATCGACCACTGTGGCTATGCAGTCCACATCACACAGGCGTGCAGCCATTGCCTTCTCCAGCTAAATACGTTTCTCCACAGTACCGAGGGAGAGAAGGTTAAATCTATGCCGATTCCCAGAAGGAGTGCAATACATAGATTTACGAAAATATATATACAGTTTCGTCCGCACCAATTTGTGATCAGTGCCACACTCAGCTCCATGCAGTACACGTGTCACACGCACTTCATGCATATCACGCTGACATACGATGACATAGCCGAGCAGGTGAGCGTGACTACTCCGTGGGTGCGTTCAAGTTGCTATATCACTCGCGCTCAGTGCAAACCAAGTGTTCGTGATCCTCAGGCCGTGAGTGGCACACAGTGAGAGCAGCGTGTCACCGGTTTCGCTGTACCAAAGCTATGCGGACCGATAACATCTGTCCACATCGATGCATCACGCCCAACGCACCCGTTGAAATCACGCAGCAGAAATAGTCGGTCGCTCCTCGGCACAGACCGTATCACGGAGGATAGTTCAGTGTAGAATTGATCACGCGTGTCATCAGGATAACAAATGGTCGGACCATACGTGCCTATAAAAGTGGCAAACTTACCTCTTCCGAGTCGTAGGCGAACAGTCATCAGTCGCGCGCTGATGCCTGTTTGTTCACCCAACAGCTGGCCATGGAGGCGATCGGATATTGCAAATTCGACCCCATGTTCACGTGGTGCTGAGGCGGCGTTGCCTATCCAGTAGAATGTGCAGCCTGCAACTGCTTCATGCATATATATATATATATATTTATATATATATATGTGTGTGTATATATATTTCTTGCCACAGTGACAGACAAATCCGAAACCCGATGCCGCCAACCATGTATGTGTGTGTGCCCCATGCTGAGGTTGATGTCGCATTCTTGATGCTTTTTCACCGCAGTTGGGCTAAACCAACTTACACTTAAACTAGGTCTTTTTAAGCTAGCTAAATTTCATTCCACTTTATTTGGTTTGTTCTGCCTACTTGAATACTCTTCTATTAACTGGCCACGTTGCTTACATTATTTGCGCTTATCTTCGGTAACTCTGTTGCGTTTTGTAGCATTTTTAACCAACTTGTGGACATTTTTTCTTTATCGCGGATTTATTGCTAACCAACTTACTTCATATGCTAATTTAGCTTAGAGTTATGCCACCGTATCTGTATGCATTATTGTATTTGTTTTATTTCATCTTGTCGTTCTAGGTGATTGGCTGTTGCTTGATATCCCCGGTGTGGCTGCGCTTGATGTGCATGTTGACAAGGTGCCTACCTGTCTATTACCCACTACCTCGTCCATACTGGCTCCAGGAGACAGTTGGTCGTGGCTGGAGGGGACAGGGTGCATGGTCCTTGTGGCCGTGCTAGGCTCAAAGAGTGGTTCCATGCACTCAGTGTGGAGCGGACTACGGTCCAGCCACCGCCTTGTGTGCGCTTGATTCCCTAAATACAACGTGCTTGTGTTTGCCTGTGAAGGAGTGTGGGCCTGCTCCGTTGATGATGCGTGGTTACCATTCACATGACTCCCGGTCTTATTCCTTCGGGTTTACACTGGATATGGGGTATGTGGTTGGAGCTGTGGGTGATGCGGAGCAAGCCACCCATGGTCCCTCTGTAGGCGCAGGCGTCCTGTGGCTGGCCACAGTGACAAGCAAATCCGAATCGGGTTCGGCTAACCGTATATATATATATATATATATATATATATATATATATATATCACAATACTTTTATTACCCCAAATTCGTGATATAGTATTTGTATACGCATGATTTAGCGGTTAGACACATCAATGAACGCAAGATAATTAAGCAGTTTAACAAAAGGATTAATAATTGAATTCTTAGCGGTAGGATAAACATGCATGTGGCAGAAACAAATGTATAGTAACACAGTTATAACAGTTCGAAATGAACATTTTTATGGGTTTTTTCTGATGCTTGACACCTCCTTTAAGGACAATTGTTGCTATACCGGCGGAAATGTCTGTGCAATTCCGACTTGGAACATAGATGACAAATGTATATCATTCAGCTAATTCATCATAGTCACTCCCAATCAGCAGGCTTAGGAGTCTGGAAAAGCAACAGACGCTGGTGTTTCGGCCTTCTGGGTCACGTCAGTGGTGTGCCTTTCAGCGGACCCGTGTCGAATTCCGCCCCCATGATTTCAGGATGCCAGCAGCTAATGCCACTTCGGCTTGGGTGACGACCGCGGACCTGCGTGATTGACCGATGAATATGTATACCAGTCAACCTTGTTTGCAGAGGTTTTTGGTGCTTTCACGAAAGAAAAAAACTGCTTACAAACAGAGGTAGAACCGAAGATTGCCAAAATCTTGGTGGCAAACATCCTGAAGTTTCTAGACTTTCCAGGAAGGTGTGAAAACGAACCGAGTACTCCCATTTGAACCTACTTTTCTTGGAGTGTCGAGTCAGACTGCATTTCTAATGTTGCCATCTACAGCCTTTCATCTGTCTTGGCAGCGTCAAAGGCGGACACGGCTGAAAATAATGCGAATTGGAGTTCACTAGATGAGAAATCAAGAAATGTTTTCTGAAATCCTTTTGACAACAATTCCAGTTGACTGTCATATATCGCAAACCGAAGTACAGATTCAGTATTCGTAGTGTCGTTCGCGTTGTTTGCAGTAAGAAAAATGAACTAAACTTCTTTTCAACAACTGTGACTTCCATAGGCTTAGTTTTGTTACAAAGCATTTAATGTCATTACACAACTGAGCGATGAGTTTGCTGTCTTGCAATTTCAAATTAAGGTCCTTTAACTGAACAGTAATTATATCCACAGCGAGCACCGGATTCTGGAGCCAAATCACCGCTTTTATGTTATCTGTGTCTTGACCTTTCTTCTCTGTGGCATGAAAACCAGCGGACTACTGTGTAGAATGGAACATCGGTAAACTGATTATTTATTTAGTCCAAAACTGGTTGTATTTACGGTGGTTGAGAGCACGGTTTCTGATATAATGCACTATCTTTATGACCAAACTGAACACATAATTCTTTGAACGCAAATTTTTCTGATAGATAATACAGTGAAAAGGTGCATATGATGAATCTGGTTGCGATTTTTCAACTTCTGTACGTAACATGGCAGCAATAGCATTATGTTTACCAACCATATTTGTAGCATCGTCAGCATGCAAGTTCGTTCAAATCCAATTCATAGCCATGTAGAAGGTACTCAACTTTCTGAAAAATGTCCTCACTTGTTGTCCTGTCGTGCATTGGAATCAGTTCAATCAGTTCATCATAAATATTAAATTCGCTGTCACGCCTTGATAAAAAAACTGCAAGCTACGCCTTTTCAGTGATGTCAGTTGTTTTAACGATAGCAAAGGAAAATGTTCAGAACCGGATATGGCCTTCAGCTACTGTTTCAGATCAATTGACATTTCATCAATTCCTTGAGCAACAGTGTTTCTGATTCATGAAATATCTTTGAATAAGTGTGCTTGCTCTGGACACACAAGTACAGCCGTTTTTACATGGAATTTCTTCACGTAATCGCCTTCACTCTATGGCTCCTCTCACTCAGGGTGATCATTCGGCTGAGTTCATAGCTAAAAGTAAAGGAAGCTACATTATCTTCCAGTTTTTGTAAAACAGGTCTGTTGCTGTCTCCAGTTACCTTTCAATTCCTTGAATTTTGAGACGCATTACGCCGTCATATTTATCACGAGGTCGATGATTCGTTTCAGAATGTCTTTTCAAGTTGTACTCTTTCGGTGTGGCAATAGCCTTGTTGCAAATCTCTCAATGCATCTTGCCACTCACCGCAGTGAAACAATGTGGAATTCTCATTTTCCTTGAAAGCATCGAACTTCTTCCTTCACCGACATTTTTCTCTTAGCTGAGTTGGCAATAGCCATCCTAACGATTCTGTGGAATCCGGACAGTGTTTTTTGTATTGTAAGGAAATCATTTCACAATTCCATAAACGGCAACAAAAGCTGTACCTGCAGTCAGTGCAGTACACACACACACACACACACACACACACCATCGGTACACACCGAGCAGTGCGTGTATGGCCAAAAAACAATGAAATTCTCAAGGGATACGCATTGTTTGGACATGTTTACTGGTGAAACCAATCAAATCTTCGAGGGATAGGTTTACCCAGTACATGTCTACGACATAGATGTGGAATGTTAAAAGGCATCTATTTTTATGTCTTAACTCGCATGTCTCGAAGCTGCGATCCTCTCTAAGTTATGCTTTTGAAATCGAGAAAGAGGTGATTGGCTATTTCAAAGCGTAAGAGACATCCTGAATAAAGAAAAGTATGACATTTTTCCGTGAAGGATACTTTCGTGCAGTTTAATCTAAAAAGGCTACGACTTTGGCCGTTTGATGATCAAATTAGTGTCCTTTGTGCGGGCCCAGGGGTGATTGCAAAGGGACGCATGCGGCCCGCGGGCCACATGTTTTACATCCCTCATTAAGACTACAAAAGCATTGTATTTCCGAGGCGCACTGAAAGTTGTGTCAAGGCCTGTCATCTGAACTAGAAAATCACAGTTGTATCAGGCAAATGTGACGTCACCGAAAACAAAAAGCTAGGAAGTCATTGGTCCATCGAACTTGTATGGCAGTAGTGAAAGCTGAAGGAAGACACTTGAGAAAGCGCAGGAAAGACGGACAAAATAGCAACTGTTGAGCACGCAGTTACCTTTGTGAGTGCAAGCTGCTGAAAGGCCACGCTTGTAGTGCATTGGGGTTAGCCACCGCCAGCCTTCATCGCGATGTGCGATGTCCAACAAACAGACGGTGTTCAATCGCTCCCTGCCATCAAAACCACCAATTACATAGACACACGTGTCTAACGAGCAAGCGGCTACGTAGCGGTAGCTGACTGGTAGGTCCTGTGGATAAAAAACCAGAAGGGAAATGAACGGTGCGTAAAAGATATCGGAAAAGGCATCACAGCTAAGAGATTGAAAATAGTCGCTCTAAGAGAAAATAACCAGAATCCGATCGCTTGTCATAATTTGTGGGACAGATCAGTGCCAATTGTTGACGACTGAGAAAGCGAATAGTAGAAAATGCAAAAAACAATATACTTGTAACGGGAAGGACACGGATGCCGTCATAGGCGAGTATAGGTGATCCTCTGGAGAGACGAAAGTATCCGCTTTCAGGATCGCCAGAGACCAGGGACGTAGACTAATGAGTAAACCCAAGTCAGGAGGTGCAAGTATGATACCATGGAAGAATTAAATAGAGTCGAAAGAGTAAAGAACAAGGATACCTACTGTCACTGCTTTGTTGCAAGAGACGCCGAACAATTTATCCTGGGACACTAAATGAAATGCGAAGAGAACTCATGAAAACAACAGGATGAAAGAGTTGATTGCTGACTTCGGCACTGAGCATGACTAAAGATTGCGGGCGAAGAAACGCAACCTCCAATGCTGCTACTCAGGGGTTGAGCATGTGAGATCACATCCCATATGAAGTTTTATTTCGTCGCACTTGTGAGATCGCATTCCATATGAACTTTTATTCCGTTGCACTATCGTCAGAACGGAAGGTTTTATCATCATGTGCACGTGTAATTAAATCCGAGGTCAACATAACAAAACTACTACAGTCTTATCGAGATTGCCTTGGATACCACATTCTCACATTGTGTAATTAAATTCCTCTTGACCTACATTCACACATCGTACCACTTACGGCCCACATGTTTGAACGCCCGAACGAAGCATTATATAAACAGTATAGTACATGGACAACAACAAACTCCCGACCGACTACAGTGCTACTCCCGTACAACGAACGCCACAGGACTGTCCCGACTAGTGCTTCGACAACCGTCACGAAAAGCGCTACGCCCACGACGACAAGACAATCGTCACACGACCGGACTGGCCGCGATCTGTAATTCCCCACGAACAGGATTTGTGCTCTGAGATAAGTCACCAATTTAATTTTGAGTGACACTATTAAATTCTTTTTCGTACATTGTATTCTTAGGGCCGGCCTCACCTTTTTATATCTTTACTGTACTGATACACAACGAACACGCCTCAATACTTATACTTCATTTTTGTTAGTGCACACCTCTGATATTTTCAATCCGTCAACTAATCGAGTAGTAACCTACTAAGACACTAACAAGCATCTCCGGTCACATCAAGCAGATTGGTCAATGGTTAGAAGTCTCCAAAGTGAGGATTGGAATTGGGATGGCGGCTATATCGGTAAAACCGGATACCTGCAATCTTCCAGCTGCGGTCGAGCACCATTAGTGTGGCACTATTCGGGTATAGTATCCAAACACAATCGAGAATGAGATAAGCATCAAAGTAGGAGCACATCCTACATCGGCCGTGAAGCAGCTACAAAGCATCACTTTATAAGCTGTGTACAGTAGGGCGGATAGGCGAAAATATAATGTGGATAGTTCCCTTCTTCTCCACTACCCCCTACTCCAGTGCTGACTTTGGTTCTACAATCCACGGCTAAATTGATCGCAGTAGCAGTACCAACACCGGAGTTCTGTCATCGGCAGTTGTGTTCCCACACAACTCACGATAAGCATATCGTCAACAGCTGTTCATCAAGTGATAATTCTTTGTTGTTGTGGTAGCGGTCAAGGCTCAGGCCCTAAGACAGTTTGATAAACAGACCGTGGATGCACACACACTTCACTCCCTGAAAGTTAAAGTGTGTCACCTGTCCGAAATGAGAGACAGTGACCTTCACGCGGATATCGATCGAACAGCCCTCAACTTCTCTTGCTGACATGCACACACGGTTGGAGACGCTGTTGAGAGTTTGCTATCGTCTAGTTGAACTACCTGTTTAATATGTGTCCGATGCGTGATTGGAGTGGCCATTTTGAAGTACGCGTTGTGTGAATGGATTGTGAAGCGCAATCTCAATGTGGGCGGTGATTCCCACTGACGTTTGGGGGCGGACAACACCCAGCCACGGTGTTATTGATCGCATTGACCAGGAATCACTTCAATGAGTATCGCAGAGTCCACATTGAGATTGCGCGCTGCGAGCCATTCACAAAACGAGTGTTTCTAAATCACCCCCAATCAGTCATTAACTGCAGCGACAAGCGTTGCTCGTCGTGACTCGGTGGCTAAAACAGTAAAGGTTTTCTGTTAGCATCCCAATGGTCCCGGGTTCGAGGCTTGCTAACTTTGTCGGTCGTTGCAGCGCCGTGGTGTCGTGAACGCAAAGCCAATCTATCCACCCTTGTTTGATGCTGTTAACTGTAGGGTTGATTATGACATGGAACAGTGAGAAGCACTAAGAAACTGTCTCACCGATGCCTCTTTACCTACGTCCGACAGCGAACTGCATATGACCATGTGTTGTCAACAATGTGTAGGTGCATTGACTCTGAATGTTTGTATGGGGCGTTTAAGTACACAAGTACACTAGATTCCCCGTATTCCCCCAGTTTACAAAACCTGGATTATCCCCATTGAACGCTGGAGAAGCGTCAGTTCCGTGTATGGATGTAAATGCGGCTGCGAATGATAAGTGTGATGAGCATTGCTGTACTCAATCAGTCAATGCGAAACGGGTTCTCTCCTACTGATGGAAAACAATATCAACAAGGTCGACTGGATGGTTTTAGACAGAAGATTCCCATGGTAGATCATGAGCACAACACCTACTGGTTTGTGAGCCCAAGAAACACAAAAACACAGCTGAATGAGAAAACAACGCACACGGAAGTAACGGATTATGAAATCCACCGTAAACCGAAGGTCGAAGAATCTTCAGGACACACTCGATTCGGCAACATATATAGCACAACGAAGAAGAATGCCGGAGACCGATCTAGTGTAGGCATTCGTGAGCGCGCGCGCGCGCGCTGGAGTAGTCCGTGCATTGCATCCGCGAGATCACACGGAAAACGTCGGCGGAATATAAAGATTTCATTGGAAGAAATGATCGCTTCCACCTAGAGATTGTATAGCCTTCTCAGGAAAAATACAAATGTAATTATGTATTTACGTCAAAACCCACAGAAACAGTGTACCTAATGATGTTTTTCCGGTGTCACTCACGCTCTTGTCCACGTAGGAGTTGTAGGGCAAGTGGTGACTGGCTTTTATTCGTGTGCCTTGTGTAACATCGTGAATAGACATGTGATTTTGTTTTTATTTTAGTACTTATGAGTAGAAAGATTTTGGCGAGTACTTTTGTTCGTCGCAATCAGCCGACACCTCAGAAAGTCAACTACCTATCCGGAAAAGCACCAGACGGCCGTCCTCCATTGCTCAGTTGCATAAGCAGCGGGTTAGTTGGCACAAGCCACTAGCAGTCATGGGTTCGATCCTCCGTAGAGGACCGCAGGATGCGCACCACTGACGAGCCCCAATAGGGTGAAACGCCCCTCTGGTGCTTTTCCGGATAAGTAGTTGACTTATCTGAGTTGTCGGCTGATTGCGACGAACAAAAATTATATTTTATTTTATAACAAGGACAGTAGGGGGGATATCGTAAAACAGTGAAGCGCCAAGTGAACATTGAGTCAAGGCACCTACATCTTGTCAACAACACGCTGTCACAAACAGCCGGCTATCGTGCGAAGAGAAAGCGTAAGCGAACAATGTAAAAAAAACACATCGCATTCGATTGAGGACTCATAACTCTGGTTCGGGCAAAAACTAGAGTCGCGCACACATGGCTGTTCACAAAAACAAATAAGTGGATGAATTCAGAGTATGACTTGGCGTGCGAATTGAACGAGTACTGTATGCCAGAGGATGAGGGATACCTCAAAACGTGAGGAAGGGAACGAGACTTCAGTCAACAGGTACTGCGCAAAGTGTATGGTTCATAAGTGGGAATAAGATTTAAGTGGCGCTTACCGGAAGCTCGCTCCACTCTAGTGTGCGCGGATTGAACATTTCCACGGAATCTGAAGGATTTTGATCCGAACCGAAGCCCCCTATTACAACCAAATATTCATCGCCACCATCACGTTGATGATAACGCCGATCTCGCATCTCGTGTCGTAGATCGGGACGCAAGTGGAACCGCTTGGCATCGTCTACCGAATCACGGCACTCCAGCGATTGACGAATGAGGAGCTGGTGTAGTGGTAACAGGTTGGGATGAAGATAATGTGAGTATAATCGAACAACTTGACAGAAAAAGGTAGTACAAAAAAAACAAATTATCTCAATATACCAGTGTGACCGCGAACCGAGAGAGGACTTCAAGACTGGTTGTATTTTGTACAGGCTCGTCCGGTAAACCTAGCTGGGACGCAGAAGCAAGTCCACGACTTCGTGCGCAGTCAACAGAGTGGTTCAAAAGACGCTGAGACCGGCGGAGTACATGGATGAAAGTCATCATACAGTTTACGATGAAGAGTAAAAACATTAATGATGTTACTGGCTCTCAGCATCGTAAGCTGCAACATATCAAGCATAAAGCCAGATTGTGCGTACGTCACTACGCGTACTCCAAGGTGGGTATCGTAAAGCAAGAAGGTGATCGAGACATAGTTTTCAAAATAAATCTCGGCAAAAGCCGAGACCGGAGCCTGGATTGTAATCACAGAGTAAGTATTCTGAACACAGCAGACAATCAAAACTTAAAACTTGATTAAGTAACTTTAGGGACCATGGGGAATTTGATGGAGTAGGCTTTTTATGATTAGAAACCCACAAACGTAAATGCATTCCCACGACGAGTGGAACACAATAAGTATGAAGTACCCCATAACCTGAATGAGTTACAGCAATCGTAAAACGGAAATCGAACCATTTTTCTTGCTGATAATAAGCCGTTTGCTTCTTTTGCACCAAGTTCCGGGTTAGTAGCACCAAACCCATGAATCTAGACAACTCAGCACACAGGTCTCTCATCGATTATGGATGTAAGTCACACTAATGCACGACATCTTCTGTATATGTGCGAGTCAATCAACTCTAGGCTCGACTTCTCCTTTGTCATCGACTCTCAAATGCGCAATCCCCCATTCACTCTTGAAGGTGCACAAGTTGTAGAGGCAGATAGTTTCGTCTACCCTGGGAGCTGTGTTCCTGCTGATGGCACTATCAGCAAAGAAGTTTCTCTTCGCATCGCTAAAGCCCGATCAGCATGTGCCAATCTGTATTTTCAGTATTTTCTAGTGATCTCATATCATGTCGCGAGAGCACCCCTAAGTATCTAAATGATGTGTTGGTGTGGACCAACTGGCCGTTCAAGGTATCTGATAAAGTGGCTGCACGCCTGATACTGATATTGATGAACTCCGACTTGCTTGCGTTAAAAGGGAGATGCATTTCAGTGGACCAAGTTGACAGTCTCAATGGAAGCAGTCCATTAGAATGCCTAAACATAAAGATGGCCCACGTAATGAGATGTCAAGCTACTGCCCAATAAATCACACATTAACTGCCTCTAAAGCGCTCGAAAGAATGGCCAACAAGAAGACAGTTCAATTCGTTACACGACTGGACCTGATCAATCCCTCACACAATATGGCCTTCTTTCAAGACAATCCTGCTTCATCTGCCAGCTGCAATTCGCCCAGGTAAGGCAGTCATCATAAATTTCTTGTACTCACAAGCCACTCTTCTCTGTGCTAGAATCATACGGTGGCTGGAACCCATTACTAGGTTGGTTTGACCAATACTTAAACAATCGAATCCAAAAAGCAATACCATATGCCAAAACGGAAAACTAGCAGTGTCTTGCAGAGAGATGTGCTTGGACCGCTACTTTGCTTAGTCTACATAAACAACGTATGCAAACTCAACCAACACGCACGCCCATGTCTGCTTGCGGATGACATCAAAGTGGTCTACTCATTTGTACCAAACAAATTACAACTATGCTTTGGAAACATACGCGAAGACCTATCAGCACCGAATATGTCTAGTGAGCGCTTGTTAATGAAATTCTAAACACAAAACGCTCAGGTACTTGGCTACAGACGCCGCATCTTGCGGGTAACAATACCAATATCTGATCCAGTTGGACAGTTGGGAATCAGGTATACCAGTTTCGTCAATTACACTGAACAAGTCCTCTACCGAGTCGCGAAAATTATATAGCTATCCCGGCTACATCACAACTTGTCCTTGCCTGGAGCACGACCTACTCTGGGGTATTGTACTATCACAGGCAAGTAAGAAAGACAGAGTAGCTCTGGAAAATGTGCAGCAACCACTTACCAAGTTGGTCATTGGGTTGCTCAACTCTGAGTCACAATGACCGTTTTCGTCACCTCCGGCTGGATCCCTGCTATAATTGCGTAGATGCCAGATAAGATTGTCACTGGCACGCCTACGGTAACTGCCTGGAACGCTGACCAATCAAATGGATTTGCGCTGACCTGATGGCGTTAGCTTAGCCCGGGGTACGCGCTGGTGAGACAGAAATTGAGCGAGCATGAGAACGATCCTAGCCGCACGTATTCGGGTAGACGCTGAGCCCTCGGAACGGACGCACACGAGAGGGGGTTACGGTAGACGCGCACTAGTGACTTAGACGCGAACGCTGCCCGGCTAACGACGCAAACAAAATCACGTGACCGACCGACTCCCAACTAAGGCACAGTGGAAGCAAGACTTCGGCTCTTTTGCGACTAACAAAGGGCGAATCCCAGCCAATGCTATGGGTCGTTAAATTAGGGAAAATTGCTACCACAAAGGGGTGGTAGTTTGTAGATGAACATTGTCAGCAGGTGCGTAGTTGGGCCGTGTCTTGGAGTGGCTGAACACTGCTCCGTTTGTGAGAAGGAATTGGACCCCGCTTCCCACAGCCATTATGCAGGAGTTTCTGGCGCGTTTTTGCGGGGATAGTTGACGGGCCCGCAACAATCCCATTTCGATGAAGGGTTAAAGAACAACCTTCTTTAACATTATAAATAAACGGGTCTTTACAGCGGAACACGTTATTTATCCTTTCCATAATGGTGGCTGCATCACAACTTGCTGGTCATAAAAACCGATGGATCTTATTCTTAGAGAGATACGACTATCTGTGGAACTAAGTATTACTGCATGTGCGCACGAGTAGAAACCATGCCACATTCTGAACATCTTCCAGAGAATTTTTCACTCTAACCGATGTGCAAAAGACACGATCCACAACAATCTCCAGAAACATGGACGGAAGCTGAGCTATGCAACGTTTGAGCAGCTCCAACAGAGCGAAACGACCGATTGATTTTCCGGGAAGGCAGTTGACCGATCAGTAAGTAGTAGGGGATTTATTGGGTTTGGTGGATATTCGTCGCAGCTACACACGGACAATCACCAGATACATCCAGGATAGCAATAGACGGCCGTTTTGTCCTATTGTGACTCGCCAGAAGCGCGCACCCGTCGAATCCTGCCGGATTCGAACCCACGACCTTACTCATGCGAGTCAACGACTTATGTCACTGGGCCATAAGCGACGGCAGCGGACCGCCATGACTGGTATCTAACTGTGATGTAACGCGGCTCATCCTCCACTGTCATGCATGTTATGAACATGTAGAGGACAGGGCTGGCCCTCAGAGCAACGACTTCCTTTGCAAGCCACCACCTATTATTAACTGCTTCCGAGTTGCGCCGCTGAATGAATGAAATGTGAGGGATCGTGTCGCTGACTAACGAGCAAATTGATTATCCACAGTTGTACGGCTGAGTACAAACGAGTGTACATAGATGAGCCTGGGGAAGGGTGCTGACGGCCGAACCCACACCCTTACGGGGGATATCGTAAAACAGTGAAGCGCCAAATGAACATTGAGTCAAGGCACCTACATATTTTCAACAACACGCTGTCACAAACAGCTGGCTATCGTGCGAAGAGAAAGCGTAAGCTAACAATGTAAAAAAACATCGCATTCGATTGAGGACTTGTAACTCTGGTTCGGGCAAAAACTAGAGTCGCGCACAAATGGTTGTTCACAAAAACAAAAAAGTGGATGAATTCAGAGTATGACTTGGCGTGCGAACTGAACGAGTACTGTATACCAGAGGGTGAGGGATACCTCAAAACGTGAGGAAGGAAACGAGATTTCAGTCAACAGGTACTACGCAAGTGTATGGTTCATAAGTGGGAATAAGATTTAAGTGGCGCTTACCGGAAGCTCGCTCCACTCTAGTGTGCGCGGATTGAACATTTCCACAGAATCTGAAGGATTTTGATCCGAACCGAAACCCCCTATTACAACCAAATATTCATCGCCACCATCACGTTGGTGATAACGCCGATCTCGCATCTCGTGTCGTAGATCGGGACGCAAGTGGAACCGCTTGGCATCGTCTACCGAATCACGGCACTCCAGCGATTGACGAATGAGGAGCTGGTGGGATTAAAATAATGTGAGTATAATCGAACTACTTGACAGAAAAAGTAGTACAAAAAACAAATTATCTCAATATACCAGTGTAATCGCGAACCGAGAGAGGACTTTACGACTGGTTATATTTTGTACAGGCTCGTCCGGTAAACCTAGCTGGGACGCAGAAGCAAGTCCACTACTTCGTGCGCAGTCAACAGAGTGGTTCAAAAGACGCTGAGACCGGCGGAGTACATGGATGAAAGTCATCATACAGTTTACGATGAAGAGTAAAAACATTAATGATGTTACTGGCTCTCAGCATTGTAAGTTGCAACATACCAAGCATAAAGCCAGATTGTGCGTGCGTCACTACGCGTACTCGTAAAGCAAGAAGGTTATTCAGACATAGTTTTCAAAATAAATTCCGGCAAAAGCCGAAACCGGAGCCTAAATTGTAATCGCAGAGTATGTATTCCAAACACAGCAGACAATCAAAACTAAAAACTTGATTACGTAACTTTAGGGACGATGGGGTAGGTTTTTTATGATTAGAAACTCACAGACGCAAATGCATTCCCATGACGAATGGAGCACAATAATTGTGAAATACCCCATAACCTGAGTGAGTTAGAGCAGTCGTAAAGCGGAAATCGAACCATTTTTCTTGCTGATAATAAGCCGTTTTTTCTTGCGCACCAAGTTCCGGGTTAGTAGCACCAAACCCATGAATCTAGACAATTTAGCACACGGGTCTTTCATCAATTATGGTTGTAAGCCACACTAATGCGCGACATCTTC